ATTTTGTGTCTAAGTTAAATATCTATGATAAAATTGATAACTGATTATAATAAAACTAAAAGACGTTCAATAAGGCTGAATGTTATTTGGTAAAACGAAAGGATCTTCTGTTTTTCTAAGATGTGTGTTATCTACACCTTATCCGATGGCTTAATATATAGCACACGAGGATATTTTGCGAGTTGCGTAGTATTTTTAGGAGTCCGAAGGGGCGATGAATTGAAAAATTCGAGCAATGAGTAGAATGTCTGGTCATATTATATCTTAAACAATCGAATAACGGATTTATTATCCCTCTGTTATTTTACTTTTAGCATTTGAATTTTAACTTTGCAAAACACATCCTACGGCCCTATCTGTGCATCTGTGCATCGATCGTCTAATAAGGAGTATGCCAAAGACGAAAACAACACCAACGAAACGATCAAGGTGTTCGTTGTGACCAACAAAAAAATCTCTCGTGCTTAGAAGTTCGCTTCTCTAAAATTCAAGCCTGAAAACAAAATAAATGAAAGCTTGGATCCTTCAATTCCTTCATTTTCTTGCTGTTTATTTCTGCCCTGTTCTACAGTCTAGTACAGTGGCGTATTTTGCGCGTTCTTAAGACCTTATTTGGTTAAATTACATGGTTGTGGAATAATAAATCAGAGTATCTACGATGCAAAATGTGCATGCATGTTTTATATATCAGAGAAAAGGATGCGGAAGATGTTTAACCGATAATCAACATTCTTGCTTTTTGACTTATTTCACATAGAATAAGCGTATGCAGTATAATAACGAAATACCGGCCTTGGATCTTTTGTCCACAAAGGGCCTTCGCAACAAGACACCAAAGGAATTTGAAAAAATTCCATGTCTCAGTAAACTTTTACATGAAATACTGTATACTCAGAGTGTTTCATTAATACTACAACGGGAATTCTTTAACGAAACTGAATTAAAACTGATCATATAATAAGTTTAAGGGGGTTTACATTAACCGCTTTCGGTTTTTAACTGAATAGACATGCAGTGTTTAAAATAGAGAAAACATAAAGGTAGTCAGTGTGGCAGAAGCTTCGTGACCCCATACTGATTTAATGTTTTGGCACTATCAGGGTTAGTGAGCGGAAAAGAATTCAGTACGACAACAAGGCTGCGAAGGATCAAGACTACAGATCGACAGTATCGTTCAGCTTGGATTAAATTTTGCATTGTGCGATCTAATCGAAGATATTCAAGGCTCTTCCTTTCCCAAAAGAGCTTCAAGTTACTGCAATACGACAGGTATGTAAAAATTTGATCAAGCTGTATAATCAAAATACCCTGCAATCCTACCGAGTGGTTAAGAGGAAACAAAAAATTATCCAAATATGC